AAAAAAAAAAGGTGGAGGAGAGACACCAAAGTTGTTGAGCCAAAAAAGGACCCGAGAGTTGTTAAGCTTAAAACAAAATTAAAAAAAAACCAGTGTGGCCCCTTTAACAAATGCTTTGCTTTTGAGGCTTTTTGGCCCTAACAGGCTTCCAGCGGCCACATGCCATCTTGCCTCCCTGCACTGGGCCAGACAACTCCCTTGTGGAACCTGGTAAGAACCCAGGAAAAAAACCTGGTTGGGAAAAACCAGACATTTTAGGTGTCCGGTATTTTCTGAATTTTTTTTTTTTAACTGGACAGGAGGTAAAAATACTGGACTGTCTGGTTCAATACCGGACACCTGGCAACCCTAATAGCTATTCCTCTTTCTACGAGAAATAACTCCTTTTTGCACAACAGTTATTGCGCAAAAAGGTCACTGTGGACAGGCAGCAGGGTTTTTTGTGTGCAAAAACAGCCTATCGAAAGAAGCACAGATGGCCCTGGTAGCCATTCTGTTAATGGTAATCAGAGCTTTCTTGCGAGAGAACATCCATGCAGTCTGGATGCTCTTTTGCGCAAAAGCGCATCGCTTTTCTGATGTGCTTTTGAAGTGTGGACGCACTCTTCTGCAAGAAGTTTTTGTGGAAGATCTCGTCCGCAAAAAGCTTCTGGCGCCGTAGCCTATGGCTACGTCTACGCTGTGCATTGTTGCACAAGAAGATATGCAAATGAGGATGAGTGATGAATATCATTGTGCCTCATTTGCATACCTAATCAGCCACCATTTTGTGGAAGGGGATTTTGCTCAAGAAGGAGCTGTCTACACGGCTCCTTCTTGCGCAAAAAACCCCTCTTGCGCGAGTCATTCTTCCTGAAAATAAGCTGCAGAACAGCTCCTGCATGAGAGGGGTTTTTTGCGCAAGAAGGAGCAGTGTAGACAGCTCTTTTTGCGCAAAAGCCCCTTCTACAAAAATGGCGGCTCATTAAGTATGCAAATGAGGCACAGTGATAGTCACTGCCGCGCCTCAGTTGCATATCTTCTTGCGCAACAATGCACAGTGTAGACATAGCCTAAGAGACCAGGAACTTCTAAAACTTGAAAAAGAAAGAAAAGGAAATGGTATCTAGGAGGGGAAGGAAGCAAGGGTGAGAGCACTTTAAACCCAAGAAACAAAACACACCAGAAAGCCATGTAAGACCACAGGCTACAGCTTTATCCAGAAAGAGGAAGTGGAATAAATACTAACTGTAGCCATTGTTAAAAACAGGTTTATCATCAAAATATTATTAAATGATAGTAAAAGTTGCAACTCTATACAATATGATGGAATACGATATTTAAAATGGAATTTGCAAAGCTAAACAATTCATCAGTACTGAATTTCATCTCAATGCTTTCATTGACCATAAATTCTTAGTTACCACAGCATTATCTCTCATGATGCTGACTGAGAGTCACTGTCCTAATAACAAATAGCAAACAAAAGAGCTGATATACGTAGGTCTGGATAATAGTATTTTCTAGATTGTCAATTTCAGTTAACTCATATGATTAAATCAAAAAATTGCAATTAAAAATTAATCTTGATTAATAATTTTAATTGCACTGTTTAATAGAATATCAATTGAGCCTTGTGGATAAGGGAGAAGCGGTGGATGTCATATACCTAGATTTTAGTAAGGCATTTGATACGGTCTCGCATGATATTCTTATTGAAAAACTAGGCAAATATAACTTAGATAGGGCCACGATAAGGTGGGTGCATAATTGGCTGGATAACCGTAGTCAGAGAGTGGTTGTTAACGGTTCTAAATCCTGCTGGAAAGGGATAACAAGTGGAGTTCCTCAAGGGTCTGTTTTGGGACCCGTACTGTTCAATATCTTCATCAATGATGTAGATATTGGGATAGAGAGTACGCTTATTAAGTTTGCAGATGATACCAAACTGGGTGGGATTGCAACTTCTTTGGAGGATAGGGACATAATTCAAAATGACCTTAGCAAGTTAGAGAAATGGTCAGAGGTAAACAGGATGAAGATTAATAAAGAGAAATACAAAGTGCTCCACTTAGGAAGGACCAATCAGTTCCATACATACAAGATGGGAAGCGACTATCTAAGAAGGAGCATAGCGGAAAGGGATCTAGGGGTCATTGTGGACCACAAGTTGAATATGAGTCAACAGTGTGATACTGTTGCAAAAAAAGCAAATATGATTCTAGGTTGTATCAACAGGTGTGTTGTAAGCAAAACTCGTGAAGTCATTCTGCCGCTCTACTCTGCACTAGTTAGGCCTCAGCTGGAGTACTGTGTCCAGTTCTGGGCGCCACATTTCAAGAAAGATGTGGAGAAATTGGAAAGGGTACAGAGAAGAGCGACAAGAATGATTAAAGGTCTAGAGAACATGACCTATGAAGCCAGGCTTCATGAACTGGGCTTGTTTAGTTTGGAAAAAAGAAGATTAAGGGGGGACATGATAGCGGTTTTCAAATATCTAAAAGGGTGTCACAAGGAGGAAGGAGAAAATTTGTTCCTCTTGGTTTCTGAGGACAGGACAAGGAGTAATGGGCTTAAAGTGCAGCAGGGGAGGTTTAGATTGGACATTAGGAAAAAATTCCTAACTGTCAGGGTGGTCAAATATTGGAATAAATTGCCAAGGGAGGTGGTGGAATCTCCCTCTCTGGAGATATTTAAGAACAGGTTAGATAGACCTCTGTCAGGGATGGTGTAGACGGAGCTTGGTCCTGCCTTGAGGGCGGGGGGCTGGACTCGATGACCTCTCAAGGTCCCTTCCAGTGCTATGATTCTATGACATTTAAAAAAATATTGTGGATGTTTCTACATATTCAAATATTGTTTTCAGTTGCACAGAATACAAAGTGTACAGTTCTCACTATTTTTACTGCAAATATTTGCACTGTAAAAATGAAAAGTAGCATGATGTGAACTGAAAAATATAAGTACTATAATGCAATTTGTTGTGAAAATGCAACTTATAAAAATGTAATTTGTTGCATAATTGCATTAAAAAACAAAATGTAAAATTTTTAGTTTCTCCAAGTCCACTCAGTCCTACTGCTTGCTCAATCACATGGGGTATGTCTACACTACCCTCCTAATTTGAAATAGGAGGGTAATTTA